AAGTATATTGAACTTGTACGGCAACTTTTTTGTCTTGGTCTACTCTCTAGGGTTGCTGGGTCCTTGTTGTTGTGGCCTCTGTGTAAGACAGGATGCTGGACCAGATGGACCACTGGTCTGATTCAGCAGGGCTCTTCTTATGTTCTTAGGCATGATTAAAACAATTTTAAAAACAGTTAAAATACATACAAGACATAGACACGTTGGTTAAGAAAGAGGGATCCTTGAGGGAATGCCCAACAAAACAAGAAAGTTTTAACTCACTGGTGAGAGATGGCAACAGAAGGGGACAGATGAATCACTCTGAGGAGAGAGTTTTCGAACTTTGGTGCTATGACCGAGAAGGCCCTCTCCTGGGTTCCCACCGGGCTGATCTCAGATGGCAGGGGCACCCAAAGCAGGGCCTCCTAAGATGACCGTAAAGGTGAGGAAGGTTCATAAAGGATTAGGTGGTCCTTCAGATATACTGGTCCCAAATCATATAGGGCTTTGAAGGTCAAGACCAGCACCCTGAATTGTGCCTGGAAACAAACTGGAAGTCAGTACAGATAGGTGAAGACTGGAGTGATTTGGCCCCTATGACCCACACCAGTCAACATCCTGTCTGCAGTGTTCTGTACCAGTCTAATTTTCCAAACACTTCCAGGCTAGCCCGATCCCGTCAGATCTCGGAAGCTAAGCAGGGTCAGCCCTGGCTAGTATTTGGAAGGATGACCTCCAAGGAATACAAGAGACATGACGCAGAGGCAGACAACGGCAAACCACCTCTGAAACATCTCTTGCTTTAAAAACAAGTCTAGCTCGCCACCTAGTGGTGCATAACACTAAAGACCTAGAACTTCTGGATGCCAGACAATCTTAGGCTCTCCTGGCTATTCTACACACACAATGCCATACGGTGATTGTTATTATTTCCAAAGACATTTCAAGGGCAGCCCCACACAGAGAGCACTGCAATAATCTAATCTAGATACAACCAAAGCACACACCAGAGCAGCCAGATTCCCCCACCCCTCGAAAATATAGGACCTGTCTAACCAGTCGAACTTGGTAAAAGGCACTCTTGGCTACAGCTGCTACCTGCTTACCCAGCAGTTGGCCCGGGTCCAACAGACAACCCCCCAGACTGTGGACCTGTTTCTTCAAAGGAGGTGCAACCCACCCAGAATAGGTGACACCTTAAATCCCAGCTCAGGACTTCCACCCACCAGCAATACTTCCATCTTGTTGGGATTAAGCTTCAGTTTATTAGCCTGCTGCCACTCCAAAACTGCCTCTATGTACCAGTTCAGGGTTTCTTAGAGACTCCCAGGCATCAGCTGAAAGAGCCCGATAGAGCTGAGTGGCATCCACATATTGATGACAACCCCGTCCAAATCTCCACATGACCTCACCCAGCAGTTTCATGTCGATGTTAAAGAGCATATGGGGCAAAGATGGAATACTGCGGAACACCACAGGCCAAAGTCCAAGAGGCTGAACAGCAGTCCCCCAGTATCATCTTCTGAAATCTAGTCTTTAAGTAGGACCAGAACCACCACAGAACATGCCTTCCAAACCCAGTCCAGATAGACAATCCAGAAGGATACCAAGACTGATGGTACTGAAAGTGCTGAGAGGTCCAGGAGAATCAAAAGAGTCACACTCCCTCTGTCCATCTCCCAGCGCAGGTCATCCACCAAGGCAACCAAGGCTGTTTCAGCCCCATAACCAGTCCTAAACCTAGAGTGGAAGGGGTCTAAACAATTTGCCCCATTCAGGAAAGCTCAGAGTTGTCCAGCCACCACCTGTTCAATCACCTTGCTCAAGAATGGAACGTTTATGACTGGTCGACATTTACTGAGATCTCTTGGGTCAAGGGTACACTTCTTTAAAAGTGGATGTAGCACAGCCTGTTTCAAGGCTGGGGTGTGACCACCCTTTCTATTAAGGTAGCATTAACTACCCCTCAAACCCATTCAGCCAGCCCCTCCCTGGAAGAACAAGGGTCATACAAGGAAGTGGAAGCCTCAAACTTGCAGGATTCTGTCCTCATCCTTAGACTGAATAAACTGAAGAGTTTCCCACACAATTGGACAAGTCAGTACCTTGGCACCATCTGACCCTGTCACTGCTACTGTAGACTCCAAGTCGGAATGGATGCAAGAGATTTTGTCTGCAAAGTGCTGAGCAAAACAGTTACGGTGGACCACTGAGCAGTCTACCTCCTGCTTCAGGCAAGATCACAACAGGCCTCTGACCACCCAGAACAGCTTGCTGGCCTACATTATGCAATGAAATGGTGGCAGGAAAGTGTTGTTTCTTTACCTCCACTGCTGCCACAAAGTATGCTTTAAAATGAACTTTTGCCTGTATTCTATTGGATTTGATCCAAGTCTTCTTCCACTTTTGTTCTAGCTGCCTCCCTTGTACTTTCATCGCCTGCAGCCCCTCAGTAAACCACAGGGCCACCTGGGCCCTAACACCTGAGAGAGGGCGCCTAGGAGCGATCCTGTCTACTGCCTGGGCATTTTCTCATTCTAGAGGGTCAACCAGGGCATCAGCAGGAGGACCAACCCTATCAACAAGATAATTCCCCGAAGGCATCAGAAAGCCATTCGGAGCCACATGGCTTCAGGGATGGATCACCTTAACGGATCCCCCACCCCTGCTTATCCCCGTAAGCGTAAACCCGAGCAGTGAAAAAGGAACCATCGTCAATTCCTCCACCCTCTGATTACATTCCTCCTGCCAAGAACAAAATACCAGATCAAGACTGTGACTAGCATGCCCTGACCTGGATAGCCCAGGCAAGCCCAATCTCGTCAGATCTCGGAAGCTAAACAGGGCCGACCCTGGCAAGTATTTGGATGGGAGACTGCCTTGGAATACCAGAAGGGGGAGGCGGGGGCAGGCTTTATCCAGCCACCTCTCTGAATGTCCTCCAGGCCCCCAGTAGGGGTCAGTCACCAGAGGTCATCATGACTTCCAGGTGCACACACGCTCACATGCACATAGATTTTTTTTAAAAAGAGCGTGACTAGCACAATGTGTAGGACCAGACGTTACTTGACGCAGGCCCATGGTTCTCAGGGAAGCCATGAAATCCTGTGCCGCTCCTGACAACACAGCCTCGGCATGAATGTTGAAGTGCTCTGGAACAACCAGCCTAGGGTCCCTCAACACCATCCCCGAGACCAGCTCTGAGAGGTCAGGTAGGGAGACTGTCAGGCATCAGGGTGGGCGGCGGTACACTAGCAGAATCCCAGTCCTGTCTCTCAATCACAGCATTAGGTATACAGCCTCAAAATCAGTAGTATTCTGGATGGGGCACCATGCTAGGGGGACAGAATGCTTATAGACTACAGCAATACCACCTCCCTGCCTGCCAGACCTATGTCGATATATCACCTAGTGCCCTGGAGATTAATACCTCCCCCCTCCCCTAGCCAAGTCTCAGTGATACCTTCCAGGCAGTGTTCCCTCTAAGCTAAGTTAGGGTGAGCTAGCTCACAGTTTTTTATCCTCCGGCTCACACACTTTTGCCTTAGCTGAGGAAGGATGGCTTCAGAGCAAACTAATTTTATGCAGTAGCCAAATTGCTCGTGCACAACTTTAATCCCGCGGTAGCTCACCAAAGTAGGACTTTTTGCTCACAAGACTCCACAGCCTAGAGGGATCCTTGCTTCCGGGTCAGCCCTCTCATCCGGGATTAACTCCTGGAGGGCTGCTGTTTCCCCTCTGGCACTTAGCAGCTGGATTCTATAGCCTGCTGCGTGTTTATACGACTGCCAACATCACTTTGGCTGGAAACCATAAGGGGCAGGCGTCTACTGTCCCTTCCCTAGCCTACCCTTTTCACACTACCATATCTCCCCCTGCCCCACAAACCATCCATCATGGTGCCACCTCTCAACCTATTCTGTCCCATGGGGTTTCTATTCTGATCCCTGGCTACGAGGCCATCCAATTTATGTAATTCGTCCCCCTCAGAAAAGATGACAGGGGGTGAGATCACATGGACAGACGTTGATAACACATGAACTTTATATACAAGGTCATGTACATCACAAATAGGAAGATTTGAGTCTGGTAGGACTGTCAACACCAACATGACTTCCAGGCTGTAAGCTTTCAGGAGTCAAAGCTCCCTTTCTCAGAACTTTGACTCTTGAAAGCTACCCTGGGAAAGATATCCTGGGAATCTGGTTGGTCTCTAATGTGCTACAGGACTTGCATAGTGCTCTTCTATGCATACCAATGAAAAGTCTAGCTGTCCTCCTCTGCGTGAATAAGAATGCCACCTCAGATTCAAGCTACGGAATGATCGGAGTACAACAGGAATCCCAAAACAAGGCCCGCAAGACAGACTACTCTATGGGGAGTGTGAGGCGCAAGTTTTGCCCTGTGGAGAAGCCATTAACAAGCCAGTTCATTGCCACAGAGTTAATTCCTCGCTACTTCCCCAACAACTTTTGCACTTAAACTGCTCTCTCTTTTTCTTTGTATTTATAACAAGTTTTTTCTTTTGTTCTCATTACAGCTATTATTTTCAGCCCTATTATCACTAATCTCTTCTTTGTAAATAGCCACACCTGTTTTAATCCCAAACAGTGCGGTAAACATTGGCTTCTTTGAGGAAGTACACGCATAATTAGGTTAATCGGTGCTATCTTTTCATGTGAGCTGACTGTTTCTTTACTGTGGACATATTTCATAACGCTGCAGCAGGCTTGCCATATGGCCCCAAGGCAAAACTAGATGCAACTTACCAAGCATGTAGCTACTGCATACAGAAACCCTGACACGACGGTAAGCTGTGAAGGAGCCAACACCTCCCTGCCCCCGATTACTCATTCCTTCCCCCCCCCGCACTCCAATTTGACTACACCCTTCTTAAACAATTTCTTTCATTAAAAACCAGTTGAAATTCTAACAAAAATATCGACACAAACATTGAAAGAGAGAGAGAGAGAGACTATAAATACAACATCAGATTCTACAACAGTTTCTGCTTTTACCTGTATAAAGTCCAGGAATGTTAACGGAAGTAAGTCGTCCAGGTGGCCAATGTCTTTGGAGAAACGATTTAGAATCCTTCCTGTAAAACAGGATGTGAGAGAAATTGAAGTTTGTTTGTTGGAATCATGGGGGTGTGTGGCTGGTGGTTTGGTTATCCCATTCAAAACAGAAAGTATTTTTAAACTCCGTTTCACTGTAAATTGGCTTGATGATCTAATTAAATCAAAACAAAACTGCTGACACTGACATGCAGTTGAACCAATTTATCAGCGGGTATAAAGTCAGTCAATGTTACCTCTACAAAAAGGACAAAAATTTGCATATGCAAAAAGAGTTGCACTGAATTACTTCTCAAGCATGCCCAGTTTCAAGATCACTCTCACTAATCCCTTATTACCAACGGTGAGCAACAGAGGAGCGTCTCCCCCTACATCAGTACTTGATGAAACAACTGGAGCCAAGCTGGGCCTAGACTGAGCCACGCGTCTGGATAGAAGATACGCTGGTAACTCTGAGCATTTCAGCTAATTAGATTTCAAGGAAGGTTTCAACACAGTAGGCATGATGAGTGCATACCCACTGACGTTGCAGCTATTTCTAAAATCGGAGTTCTGCTACTGTTTAGTGGATGTAGCACATCCTTTCTATAAAGAATAAACATATCTCCTATCAAGGGTCACCAGCCTTTTATTTAATGAGAGCTACTTCTGAGGAAAGAAGAAGATCCTAAGATATCTCTCCCCGCCACAAGCTGCACAGGAAAAATATTATGAAATAAAAGCTTTGTATGGGAAAGAAAGAGTAGAGCAGACCTTTTCCCAATCTTTTTCTGGGTCTTCTAAAGCAGCTGCTAATGGGTGGGGTGTGGAAGTAGTTCAATGGGGGGAAATTGTTAAAAATTTACAAAAAAAAATCACAGGAGTAGCTGTGTTGTAGCAAAATAAAACAAAAGGTCCAGTGGGACTTTAAAGACTAACATCATTTATTTCTATCTGAGTTTTTGTGAGACACGCTCACTTCTCCCCACAACATCTACCTGCAAGCGGGATATGCCATCTCCTGCCAGCCCTACATTCCACAGATTGTCCATCCTTGACCCTTTGCTACGCTAGCAATAATAACAGAATACCTATCAATATGTACATGATCTTCTCAGACAAGTTTCTATTATGGCACAGGGTTGCCAGGCTCCTGCCAGGGGCAAGGGGTCTCCCACTCCGGGATCCCTCCTCCAGGCGTTGATCCGCTGGCTGGTGGGGCAGCTTACCAGCAGCAAAAGAAAACCTATGCTGGCATCGCTGGCAATGTCACTTCCAGAGTGCACTGGAAGTGACATATTCGCATCATGGGACACTCTGGGCAAAAACTCTATGGTAAAAATGACCTCTACCATAACAGCTTTCCCCCAAATTCCAGAGTATTCCTATGATGCCAGTGAGGTGATGACATCACTTCCAGTGCATGCCAGAAGCAATGTCATTGCCAGTGCTGGCCTAGGCCTCTCTTTGCCGCAAGTAACTCCCCCCATTCTCCCACCAGTTGCTAAGTGGTACCTGGCAACCCTATCATGGTGGGTCCCAAATTCTTTAATCTGTGGGATATAAGATTGAGAACCATTGTTTTAGGGGATGCACAGGATACTCTGTAGCTGCTGATGAGCTACTGTTAGCTCACAAATGACATGGTGTAGACCCCTGAAATGGCTAATATGTAAGCACTGACTAAAGCATTCATTGTTCTGTTTTCTGACACTTTAACTATGTGAAATTTCTGCCAGGACAAGAGTCCTTTAATTACTGACATTAAAATCTTCTTATATTTATCAATAACTTCTTCAGAAACAAGCACAGGACAGAATACTCAATTTAAAAGATGGTTATTATACCATGCCGAAAGATTTTAATGAGGAAAAAAGAACATTTTGCATTACTCATGCCGCAGGATTACATGTGCCTACGATTTCAATGACTGGCTACTACCTGAGCATATACTGCAACAAATTAGAAGTCAATGTTTGTTTGAAAATATTACCCACGCTATTGCTTCATAAAGCAGTAGAAAGCAGTAAAAAGTCAGAAAGCTCCGAAAGAACTTGCTTTTAAAACAATGACCACAGATATTCCACGCCACAACAGCCCTGTCAACCACTGCTGTGCCCAGAGAACTTGTTGCAGAGTTGGGCCTGGAGTCCTCCTTCTAGGCAGTCCTGGACAGCCTTGAGTGCCACTGAATACTATTTGGCAATCCCCCCCAAAAAAAAATATATATATCTTGGAGCCATGAATTGGGTGAGCACCATTTACACTGTGAGCGGAAATCAGCCTCATCTGACGCTGGATTCCAAAGCTTTATGTTAAAACCAGCACTCTGGAGTTTCAATTCACTTTCCGAGTGCGGCTAATTTGGATTCGAGACATTTTGTCCGAAGTTGCTTCAACGTGGGGATTTCCCACACACACAGAATGCAGGAAGCCCCAAGGTGAGAGGGGAATATCCATATGATGTCTAAGCATGACTCATGGAATTCCTGGGTCTTTCCCCTGAGAGCCAGAGAAAAGCATAGCTGGTTTCTCTCCAACTCAGTCCTTGGGGGCTAGAGAGGAGTGTTTGTGTGGACGTTCCCTCTAACACCACTACACGGAAAGGGAGGGGGCTCAGCTCTCAAAATAGCACAGAGATAGCTTTCTGCTAGATGTCATCCCCCCCCCCAACTTTTTAAAAGGGCTTTCCCCCTACTTTCCCTGCTGAGCTACACTGCACTGCGGAATTCGCTGCCAGAGGATGTAGTGATGGCCACAGCTTTAAAAGGGGATTAGATAGATTCATGGAAGGTAAGTCTATCAATGGCTACTAGCCATGGTGACTGAGGAGAACCTCCACATTCAGAGGCACTAATATTCCAAGGCCCCATTAGGGGAAGGCCTCAGCCTCTGTGACTAATTGTTGGCCCTCCAGAGGAACTGGCTGGCCACTGTGTGAGACAGGATGCCGGACTAGATGTAGTACTGGTCTGATTCAGCACAGCTCTTCTTAGGTCTATTTATTTATTTGATGTATACCCCAGGTTCTGATGTTCCTGTGCCTTTAATAGTATCCTGATCTGGTCTATCAATGGCTACTAGTTATGGTGACTGAGGAGAACCTCCATATCCAGAGGCACTAAGCCTCTGAATCCCAGAGCCAGGAGGCCACATCAGGGGAAGGCCTCGGCCTCTGTGCCCGGTTGTTGGCCCTCCAGAGGAACTGGTTGGCCACTGTGTGAGACAGGATGCTGGACTAGATAGATCACTGGTCTGATCCAGCAGGGCTCTTCTTATGTTCTTATGTGCTATTTATTTACGTAAATATTTCTATCCCTATTTCCCTCCATCAAAGCAGTTTACATAAAATTTAAAAGCAAAAATACAAACTCTCATCAACATAAGTACAAATAAAAGGAAGTAAACCACAGCCTGATTCACTGCCCACCCACAGCCTGTCAGAGAAGCTTCACTTTACACAGCCTCTGAAAACTGTGCAAACATTGATGCCTTGAGAAGCCTGTTCCAGGTACAATCACTGAGGAAGAGCAAGCCCACACAGAAACCGTTATCACTGACCTGAATGGGAGGGACTACCGCTAATCCCTGGTCAGATGATCAGAGCTGCTTTGGGAGCACATATGGATGGAAGCAGTCCCATAGCTACGATGGTCCCATGTTATGAAGGGCTTCAAAGAACATCAACACCTGGATCTGAGCACTGAAGCAAACTGGCATCTTAAATTTATGGCAACATGTTCAGAATGGCAGTCTAGCTCCAAAGTCCCCAACACGGTGCCCAAATATCCTTCTGGGCCCCCACCAAGTGTTTTTAGAAACTGGGCAGAGCCATTCGGGGTTCCTTGCCCAGCAGGGCTTCTGATTAGCCACTGAAGATTTGATTGGCTGTGCAGATTAAAATAGCATTGTTTAAGGGGTAGCTGCCACCAGTGTGTTAGTTTTATTCTTTCACACACCTCTTTCCCAGTGTCTTTTAAAAATTACCCCTCTTTTCCCCTGTACTTGGGTGTCGTGTGGTGGGGAGAGGCCTCTGCCTCCTGTGGCAGCCACTCTCTGCTGGAATGACAAAGGTGCCTATGGGGTCACAAAAAGGTTGGGGGGCCCTGGTCTAGTTGCACTGTTCCACACCAATTGGAGCTTCTGTGATTGTCTTCAACGGTAGCCCCACATAGTATCTTAGAACAAGCCAATTACAGCACAGGACAGGAGAGAGAGAGG